AAAAATGGTTAATTTTTAAAAATGGCTTCATGTACATATAGCAACGTCAGCCCTTCTTCTGACAAAGAGACTCTGCTCACTGTCACTCATGCTCTCGTGACTTCTCGTTTGAACTACAGCAAAGAATTCTACATAGGGCTGCCCTTGAAGAGCATTCAGAAGCTTCAACCCGTGCAGGATGGAGTTCACTGATAGTCAATGGTGTTGGACAGTCAACATGTCTAATCTCTAATCCATGAGCTGGAATGGTTGCCAGTGTGTTTCTGAGTGCCATTCAAGGTGCTGGTTGTCACTTTTAAAGCTCTTCGTGGCTTGAGACTGCATTACTCTTGTCCCAGTTGTTTCTACCTGTCAAGTTTGGGCCAGCTGGTTGGGCATGTTACAGGTCCTGTCAGCCAAAAAGTGTTGGCTGGTGGAGATGAGGAGACATGTCTTCTCTGCCATAACACCTGCCCTATGGAATACCCACCCTCCTGAGATTAGGATGGTCCCAATCCTGTTGGCCTTTCAGAAGGCCTTGAAGGCCTGGCTATGTGCCCAGACCTGGCATCCACAGTGTGTGAAGGGCCCTGATTCCTAATTATGTTGACACTGATGGATTATAATATCTCTTGGCCACCATTTTTTTTTAATTAACTGTTTTAATTTTTTTAATTGTTCACTGCCCAGAGACCACTTGTTGGAGCTAAGTGGCCATAGAAATTGATTGAATAAAGAAAAGTGCTCCTTCTTTTTATTTCTACATTACCTTATCTTGATACCTTATCAGCAGCCACAGTGGCGCAGTGGTAGAGTGCAGGCTACTTCTGACTGCCGGCTGTCTGCAATTTGGCAGTTCAAATCTCACCAGGCTCAAGGTTGACCCAGCCTTCCGTCCTTCCGAGATGGGTAAAATGAGGACCCAGATTGTTGGGGGCAAGAGGCTGACTCTGTAAACCGCTTAGAGAAGGCTATAAAGCACTGTGAAGTGATATATAAGTCTCAGTGCTATTGCTATATGAATATTAACATTAACTCCAATTACATTTTTGTCCTGGTAGCAGTACAGCATATTTTCAAATTCTACAAAAGATTATCACAAAGTTTCAAGGAGACTTTATAGAAGCTTATTGTTTTGCTTTCTGTCTTGCATATGCCCTGTCACTGATGGCCTGTTTATATAGTAAGTAGCCACACACTCTGTTAAATATTTGCCCATGTGGGAGAGTTTGTCTGTCTCATTCTTAGTACAGCCATGGCAACATATATATTAATGATGACCGCTTGACATATCAAGAATAGATGCCTGACAGATGTGCAAATTACAACATCCTAGGAAGAAATTCCCAGGCATTTCGACAGCTAAGTATTTCATGCAGATACTTGTGGGTTAGAAACGCCAGTATAACTTTGAGCTACAGAATAATTAGATGGATGATCAGACTGTATTCATTCCAAGCAGACTTGAGAAGGTGTTTTAATGTTCTTCTATTGCTGATGTTTATTTTAATCTCTGATGCATTAAAAAATATAGCCTACCAGGAAGGAAGACCCTAAGGTAGCTTGCTTCATGATAATGACAACTATGAGTAGGAACTGCTCTTATCTCTACCCCCTCCTTCTCTCATTTAAATATATAAAAACTTCTCTTCCCAATTTCTGATTTTGCATATTTGCCTTGCTTCTTCCTTCTGCAGCAACTGACTTTGAGGATTTCAGAAGGAGAACTCATAATTTGAACTCCAGATACATGGACTTCAGCTCCCAGAATTCCCAGTCAGCATATTTATTGGGAGAATCCTGGGAGTTGAAGTCCACATATCTTAAAGATGCAAAGATTGAGAAACACCGATCCAGGTTAGAAATACATCCCTAATATGACACACACACACACACCCCATGATTTTCCCCTCATGAATCAGTTCCTTCATTTTCCCCCCTTCAAAGGAATAAAACCAGTAAAGGAATGTGGTGCAGAAGTAATCATCTTAGTTTGGAATGAAATCTCTGTGTGAGCCCAGCAAAGGAAAGTCATAGGCATGTCTGGAATTCGAGTTCTTGCTTTTAGATCTTCTGCAAACTGAGCTCGCAGGTTTGAAATTCCAGTATGAAGTTCCTTGAGCACATTTCTCCATGGGTATCCATCGACGTCATAAGGCAAATCAGCATAAGTATTTAAAGCACTCAGAATTAGCACAAAGGAAGAATGTGATAGGATGGAAGGACTGAAAATGTTACTAAGTATATAAGAAGAGAAGATTTAAGAAGATGTCCTCCTAGGATGAACATTAGATGACTTTGCCCTGTTTGACTCCATCTTTTGCGTTCAAAATGACACCTTTTGTGACTTCTTTAAGAACAATCTGATTTTTTTCCCCAATTCACACTTTTGGAGAAGACATTTAAAGTTCCACACAACTGCAGTAACTCAAATTATATTGCCCTTTCTGTTTTAACCTTCATTTTCCTCATTCTTACAAAGCTCAAGCTTGCCATGCACACAACAGAAAGATCAGCAAGGCAAGGCAACCTTAAGATGAATAAGATTGAGAACATTTTTTCTTTTAAATGGAAGAGGAAAATGACCTTGCAAAAACCCCACAGCAGAGAAAATTGCACTCTGAGGGGAAGAAAAAAATGAAGAAAAGGGGAACACAGAGAGAAGTCGGGAGGTGTATCCACAGAATACGGTGAAAAAACATCCAGATGGTAGCTACTAATGGGGTAATCAATGCTTTACCAGCTTTTTATCTGTGTTGTGCAAAATAGACATGAAAAATAAGCACAGCATCACGGTTATCATCTTGATATTTTTTCAACATAGTCTGCAGGCACTCAAGAAGTTGGAAAAAGAGGCTGAGACCCAACAAATAGATAGATAGATAGATAGATAGATAGATAGATAGATAGATAGATAGATAGATAGATAGAGATAGAGATAGAGATAGAGATAGAGATAGAGATAGAGATAGAGATAGAGATAGAGATAGAGATAGATACACACACACACACACACACACACACACACACGCACGCACGCACATGCGCACACAGCGTCTGATTGCCCAAATAGTCCTTTCCTGGTTCATTCTTGAAAGCTGATTTAAAACTGGGGTATCCTTGGAGTTCTCTGAACTTGGTTGCTTTCTTGCAGACGTTTCATTTCCCAGACTAGGTAACACATCACTGCTAAGTAATGAAATGCCTGCAAGAAAATAACCAAGCTCAGAGAACTCCAAGGACCCCACATTTTAACCCTGAGTTACAAATATTCTCCTTTATCAGGGATTTAAACCTTCTCCAAGGACTTAGAAAAGAGTTGCTGACAGATGCAAACTGAGACTGAATGCAGCTGGACATACCCAGGTGCCAAAATTGGGGGAGAGAGGACTCCCAAAAATGTCCCTGTGCAAGGTTAAATGTTATTCTGGATCTCCAACATGCAGGAGAAAGAAAGCTCAGCACCCAAGGCTCCAGAACAGGATAGAAAACAGATAGTAGTTTGAAGCACGCTGCCCATCACACACATCTGAGTTCTAGAAACTCAGCTTGTCACTCCTAAAGGTGTTTCTCCTCCCCCCCAAAGGCAGCTAGACATATAGATGTTTTGTTTCTCATCCAAGAAGTTTCTTCACTTCTTCATTTCAGCAGAACTGAAGAAGCTTTTTGGATGAGAAGCAAAAGACTTTAAGTCTAGCTGCCTTTGGGAAAAAAAACACCTTTGGGACAACCATGACCTGGAGAATCTCCATAGACATTCAGCTTACAACTCACACTAACATCTTGATTACAGATAAGGAGTCCATGGCTCTTCTCATCCTGATTCTCCTGCACTCTGTTATCGATTTTCACTTCTCACTGATATAGCAACAGTATCCCAAGTCCCAATCCCAACACCAGAAAAGGAAAAAAATAAAAATAAACCCGTGAGTTGTAGGGACAAAGTTTTTAAGGTTGATATTCACAACACACTTATTAAGGGTCTTGCAGCATCTTCCTTTTAGAAATCCCAGGAAGAAATGAACTACAGACACTGGCAAAATGGAAAAGCAATAAAGGAATCAATGCTAAAGGCGTGTACTAATTAATGCTAAAGGCGTGTACAACACATTATTTGAGGCTTAATACAAAGACTTTCCAAACTCCAGCCCATTTGCTGGAAGGCAAAGCAACCCTTAGGGATGTTGAGAGCCTGTTGATCAAATATGGGCAAACACGCTGTAGAAAAACCACTTGATTGTGAGATGGGTGGCTGTATAAATACAATTTATAAATAAATAATTTTTAAAAAAACATGAATGATCATGGTCATCCTGCCCCTCGCAACTATTTCTTTTCATTCTTATCCTAGATAAGGCAGCTCTAAAATAAAATTAAATTTGGAGGAGGAGAAAGAGGAGGAGGGAGAGAGGGGTGAGAAGGAGAAGGAGGAGAAGGAGAAAAAGGAAGAGAAGAAAAGATGATATGTAGGCCAACAAAACTCCTATAGTTTCGAGTCATTTTCATACACTTAATTGTTGGGAGAATTGTTGGGAGAAGAAGTAAACTGACCGCCTTTCAACCCAAAGATGACTCCTACTGTCACAACTTATTATATGTGGGCTATTCTTGTTATCTATGAATTAGACAAAGCAGCAGAGGCTGACAAAAGCTTATAAATGTAATTTTAAGTTCTGGAGATTGCAGGATGACTGTTTCTTCTTTTACAAGTATACCTGGAACACATATTTTTTAGAATAGTTTGTAATACTATTCATTTTTTATCAACTACTATGAATGCCTTTTACTTTGATAGAGGTATATATGGGCACATTTCTCTCTCAACACACCTTAACTGTGCCTTAACCGTGCCAACTGAACTGGACTCCCCTTCCTTGTCATTGTAGTACTTTTCACTCTTAAAAAAAAAAATGTCCAGGATCTTATCACCCCTGCCTGCCCTAGCCAGTTCTCTCCAGCAAGCCCACAAGTCCAAACCCTTCAAATCTCAAGAAGAAACATTTGAGTTAACTCGCCCTTACCCTGGAGATGGTCAAAGGCATGTTGAAGTCCTTCCCTCCTTGCAGACGGAATCCCCATGGTCCAGATCCATTAAGAGTGACACCGAAAGACATCTTATCTCTCCTTTACGCCAGGAAAGTCCCGGGCTCTGCGAAACAGAGGAGTGGAATACAGGTGGGTATGTTGTTAAAAGGAGCACTCTTTCCCCCCCACTTCTATCCGATTAAAGCACAAACTAATGCTCTTTTTTTTGTCTCTTGCCTGGTGAGTCCAGCCGAAGTGTCATCTAAGAATAGATAGCACTTATAATACAGATACTGATATCCCTGACGAAGAGGCCATACATGGTGGGTAACCCAACACCAGCTATGCAAAACCTCTGTGACTCAGAAGTCTAATATAGACCCTGGGGAAGTTAACAGACCTTTCTGAAGTGCCTCGGTTCCCTTCTTCAGGCTCAAAGCCACTTTTCTAAGATAAAAGAGCAACTTATTTTAAGGGCGAGTTAAAAATACGAGTTTAAAGGAGCTTTCAGGGTAAGATTCTGGTCTGCTCATTGCCCAATTCACTCAGGACGCACCAATGAGTTTTATGTATATCAATATCAATATCAATATCAATATCAATATCAATATCAACATCAACATCAATATCAATCTGTCTGTCTATCTATCTATCTACCTACCTACCTACTTATCTACCTACCCTATCTATTTATCTATGGCCCATTTGACAGTTTTATGCAAGCTTACACAGTATATATATATATATATATATATATATATATATATA